CTTCCCTGCCCTGCCTGCGGCTGCGGAACCCCCGCGAGCCCCCAGGGTACCCGCAACCTTAACTTCGCCCGTGAAGCTGGGCTTCGAAGTCTTTCAATTCCCCCCTGATGTCCCTGCTCATCCGTTCTCTTCTCCTCAGACGTCTCTCCAGCTTCCTCTAGCTCCGGGACGCTCATCCAGTACACCCCGGACTCTGCCACCAGCCCCACGGCAGAACGCCCGTCTCCCCACCCCTCTTCCCAGAAGGCTAAGGAGGAAGGTGAGGGTGTGGTGAAGAAGGCCAAGAGCCGCACAGCCTTTTCCCAGGAGCAGCTGCAGGTCCTGCACCAGCGGTTCCAGAACCAGAAGTACCTCAGCCCTCAGCAGATCCGGGAGATGGCTGCTGCCCTGGGGCTCACCTACAAGCAGGTGAGTATTTTGCTCTGAGCAGTTAAATCATGTCCCTAGTGTGATTTTGCCAGCAGGTTTGCGTGTGTGTTTTTTCTCTTTTCTTAGACCCCAGAGATGGGTTGGTTTCATGATCCTGTCTATGCCATTGCATATGTGAAAGAGCAGAGGGTGTGAAAACTTATGACTCGGTCTTCCTCTGGTGTTTGGTTCCAGCACCATCCGCCCACTCCTTGCAGGTGTTCAAAAATGCATAGAAAGCAGGGCTCTATAGAGTCAGGCTACTATTTGTGGACAGGCAGGGTTTCTGATTAATATGAGAAGCCAGATATTGGTGCTGCCAAGCAAGTTGCCTTTCTTAGTCAGAGTGGCAGCTGGGTTTGTCCTTAGAGAGAGGTTGCCCCACCAGCTAATCTTCTGTGAATGGCTCACTCCTGAGTCAGCACTGATCTTGGTGCAGCAGTGAGATGCTGCTGCTGAGGTACAAGTTCTTTTTCTACAGTTATTCTAACCTGTTTTTCACACAGGGTCATGAAAGATCTCCTGGTGGTCTCTGAGGAGCAGGAGTGTTCATGTCTCAGCTCTGTGATTCTGTGGCTACTTGGGTCCACTGCATATTGCTAGCTGCTCTAGTTATGTACAGTATTAGGAGCCAAGCAGAAACTGCATTGTAATAGAAGGTACAACACCTTCAGGATGTGTAGTAAGCTCTGAGATGAATTTCTAATGCCCTTTGTATTTCCCTATTACTTCTGGCTGAAAACATGGTTTCAGAACCAGCGGATGAAATTTAAACGTTGCCAGAAGGAGAGCCAGTGGGTGGAAAAAGGGGTGTATCTACCACAGGTGAGAGAATTCCCCCTTTCCTCATCACTACCAGTGATGGTTCTTCCAGTCTGTGGGGAAAAAATACACCATGGCCTATCTGCTAACTCAAACAGTACAAAGAACTTGATGTTAGTAAGTCTGTTGTGTTTCTTGCAATAGGGTTTACAGTACCATCTATTTTAAGCCTGTCCTGGCAATGAAAAGAGCTTTGTTCCCAGGTCTTGGGTCTCACAGTTGGGACTAGACAGAAAACAAAATAGCCAAAGAATGTCAGCAAGGCTAACCATTCTGGGGTTTTTTTCCCAGCATGGTGCTCCCAGACTTACTGAGCTGGGTATTTCTAATTTAAGATCTTATAACCTCTGCTGTTGTGAGTCTATAGTGAGGACAATAACTATGAACGTTGTTTGGCTTAGGGAAAGTGGTGGGGGAGACAAGGTAACCAATCCAAAAGAATGGACACAGTTCCTATGGTGCTTTGCATGACTTAACAGCCTTTTCCCTCTATCCTAGAATGGGTTCCACCAGGCTGCATACTTGGATATAACCCCCACGTTTCACCAGGGCTTCCCTGTCAGTGCCAGCAGAAACCTCCAGGCTGTGACCAACATGCACCAGGCTTACAGTGGTGGCCAGGCTTATGGAAATGGACAGAGCCTGTACTCGTTTGTGGCTGTGGAGGATGAGGGGCTCTTTGGAAAAGGTGGGACAAGCTGCAATACCCAGCAAGCCATGGGTTTATTAAGCCAGCAGATGAACTTCTATCATGGCTACCCTGCCGATATGGATTATGTCAGCCTGGAGTCAGAAGACACCTATGGCTTCCAGAGCACCTCTAGCAGCATGACACTGTTCTCAAGCTCTCCTGTACGGCATCAGTACCAGGCCCCTTGGCATCCCTTGGGGACCCAGAGTGGCTATGAGTCTTAGGTCCAAGTATTTTTTTACTCCTCCCTTTTTTTTTTTTTTGCTGGGTTTCTAGGGTCTTGACTCAGGGATCCAGTTTCTACCGTCTTCTCTTGTCCCCTCCTCCCCTACTTCTGTTTTAACCATTGGTGGGGCTCAGCACCTCACTGCCTTGGGCTAGTTTTCTGTTTAAAGACACTTGTCTGCTCATAGCTAACCCTTGGCAAGGATGTTTTGTATGTGGGTAGATGAAACTTCATCCATGGAGGAGAATATGCAATTCCACAGTCAGGAGCAGCAAAGGTGATAAAAGTCTGCTCTTGCTGTCCCAGGTCTTGACTTCCTCTTCTGCCTCTGATCCTTGCCCTGTGTGCCTTTCAGCAGAGTTTTGCTGGGAAACTGCTGTACTTCAGCAGGTTTATGCTAGAAATGGTCTGATCTACCTGAGAATCTTCTCTGCTGGCTTTGCTCTTTTTGTTGCTACCTCAGTTGTCTGATCCTCTCCTCGCTCTTGGAAAAGCTGAATGAGATCGTCTGATCTCGATTTACTTGATCCAGTTAGTTTAGCAGCTCCTCCTGCAGAGGTCAGCACCCACCTCTCCCTTCCTGCTGCCCTCCTGTTGTCCACAGGGCGGTTGAGAGGAAAGGGATCTCACGTGGAAACATCTGGTTTTCCAAAGCTCAGGTTGGTGCCTCTGGGACTGTGTCCCAACCCAGTTTAGAATTTTGTCTTTCTACATCTCTCTGCTGAGAGACTGTTGCCTTGTCCCAGCCTGCAGATCAGAGCAAAGGGCAGCCAAAAGTGCAGTTGGTTTAAGTGTGAGGAGCAGCTATGTGTAGTAAGTAGTCTTTGGAGTGGTGCTTATCTGTACCTGGTGGTTCCCTAGCACTTCACAAGCACAGCACCACTACAGTGCAGATTTCCCTGGGGCAGAGGTGGGCAGCTAGGTATAGGGCTTTGTTATTTTAAAGGTGACCTAGATGCTGGGGGAGGGAATCCTGTTGGGTCCCTGCTGTCATCCAAAGGGCTGGAGCAGGATGGTTCCCTGTTCTCTTGTCTAATTCCAGTTTAAACTAGTAGGATTTTTGTTCCTTCCCCAAGGCTTAGTTGGATCTCTTCTGTATTCTTCTGTTAAAAAGGGCACTGGCAGCTTCATGTGATGTAAGTACCCAAGCTCTGGGGGAGTTCAAAAGCTAAGAGAAACCTAGCCAGACAAAAGGAGGAAAATGCCAATTAAAGCTTGTGGTTTCTTTTTTAAAAAAAAATCCAACAAAACAAAACATGAATCATCCCTTTAGAATGAAGAAAGTGGAGGTTGGCTCCAATCTATGCAAAACTGACTTTTTTACAAAACATGGAACTAGAGTCCAGTCAGCCACTACCTCAGAATACGAAATGCCATAAGCTGACAAGAAGAAATAAGATGGTAAACACAAATATTTCTGTGCTAGGAGTATTTTTGTTGTTAGCACACAATTTTTACTGTAACCCTGTCTTCAGATGTCTGCACGAGGGCTGTATGTTATAGTTAAACGTTCACTGCAAAGGAGGCAAATGCTTCTTGTTCCAGAATATTTTTTTTTATTTCAGTGGTCTTAAAGCATGTTTTTTGTGCATGTTGTCTTTTATGACTGTGTTTCTGCTTAATGTTCTTAAATTTTGTTTGAATTGAAAATAAATCACTTTATTTTAATGTTGAAACTGTGTCACCAGCTTGCATTGTAGCAGCCTGCTGCAGAAATGGTTGTATGTACATGGGTTAGACCAGCACTGCTGAGGAAAGGAGGGGAAAAGTAACCCTCCTATGTTTCTCCCAGAAGTAGGGTCATGCAGCTGGGTGGGTAGTAAAAGGATTAGGTCGGAGAAGCCCATCAACCTTTTTTAGTGCAGGTGTGTTGCCTAGTGCAAGTACAGGCTCTGGGGCTGGGGAAGTGGACTGATAACTGCTGGCTTGTTACAAACCTGCAGCCCTGGAACATGCTTCCCATAGTCCTTAAACTGCAAATGCTTCAAAATATCTAGGTATGAGGGATACCCAGTTCATATAAGAGTAAAATAGTGTCTTTTTGAGAACCTGCTCTAGTGGGAGATGTCCCTACCCATGCTGGGTTGTTGGAACTAATGATCTTCAACCTAAATTATTTTATTATTGTATGGCTGCTGCTCCAGAAGGTCCCTGCTAAGAGGTCTGGAAGTCCTGCCACATTGAGGCTACAGCTCTCTTGGGCTTCTTATGCTGACTTCAAATGGCAGCAGAAGTTTGTGTGTAAGTAACTGAATCCTGGCCCCAGCATTGGAACAAATACTTTCCTTGCTTTGCCCTAAAACTGCATTTATCTCCTCTTACAGGTCAGGGCAACATAAAAAGTACTGAAACATGTGATACACTCATGTTGGGACTGAAGCTGCAACAGTGCATCAGCAGCCACCAGTTTAGAGATTCCCACTGAGCAGTTAGCTGAACTGACAGCTGACTGCTCAGGCTGCCACAGCTTCTTTGCCAAACAGAACCTGCCTGTGTGGGTGTCAAATCATGTCTACTTTCCTTTTGCAATACTGCAATGTTCTGCTGCCCAGGGAGAGGTGGAATATGTGCAGGAGGGAGATGGAGTGGACATTTGAGCCTGTAGAGGGGCAAGAAGGACTGAGGTATCCATGTGTGAACTGCCAGGCTTCAAGAGCACAAAGATGGTAATCTGGCCTGAAAGAGAGGGAAATGCCAGGTTTACACAGTTTCCTGGATTACACAACAGATATCCTTTTCCCCCGTCCTTCCTTGAATCTTGTATCCCAACATCAGTTTGGATGAATTCTGGTCACTGTTTTAGCTTAACCAGTCCTAGATACTAAAGCCCTGCTTTTCTGCTTTAAAATTAGCAGCTTCCAGGGTTGTTTTTTTGTGTGCATGTGTGTGTCTTGTCCTGTGTCTTGTGTGTGGTTTTTGTGGTTTTGTTTCCTTTAAATTAAGATGCAAACTAAAGCTCTGGAGATATGCACAAGGTGCCCGGGTCTTGGCAGAATATTTGCAGAGCTTGCTTGCTGCAGATTACCTGGGCTGCTTGGGCATGTTTCTCTTCCATGTTTCAGGCACTGGCTAGAGCTCTGCTGTTAGATGTCCTGCAGAAACAGATGTTGCTGAAATAGCCCTGGGGCTGAGATGACTTGCTCTGCGTGTTGTGGCTTGTGTTACTGCATTTACTGTGGGAGTGATTCTGCTGGAAAAAAAAAAAGTGATCCTTCACAACTGTGTCATTCCCCTTGCTCAGGCCAGGGTGCTGCACATGGGTTTGGCAAGCACACGTAGTTGCAGAGCTGGAGAGAACATGTGGAGTTTCTGTTGGAATTTTGGTGGGTGGGCTGGAAAGGAGTTTTAGTAGATTAGGAAGGGTTTCTGGAAGCTGTAAAATTAAGTATATTTTCCCACAGTACTGGAGATCTCATCCATTACCTTGAAAGGCCTGAGTCACCTCACCATGTGAAACAACTTCACAGTCAATTGCAGCCCTACCATCAAAGCTGGTGGATCTGCAACTAAATCCTCTAGACTCACTTTCAAAAGGATTTGTGTAAGTTCCTCAGGGGAAGTAAGTGCATGTCAGCAAAAGCCCTTTCTGCTGAGGTACATTGCATCCTTGTTAGGACTGTTGCTTCTTGTGACTGTGCTGTGCAGCAGTGGTTGCCACACACTGCAAACGTGAATTGCCTTGCCAGCAAATATTTTTAGGATCCAGCTGTGAGGTCATATGGAGCTCATGGGCATACACTGCACTTTCACAGTATCCCTACAATGTTATCACTCTAGCTTGTCAACACTGCAGATGTAGCTCTAGTTGCAGAGAATTCCATTGAAATGAAATCTAGTCCAAACTAGGTAGACCAGGCTTTATTGTCTAGTTTATTGGGTTCCAGCCTTTGCTGTCCCATAGGCAAAATCTTAAGCATGTAGTGGTGCAAACATCCATATTCCTTGCTCTCCATGTGAACGTGGCCTGCAGCAGTATTTTACAAGCTTGATGTTCCTTCAGAGCAAGGGCTCACAGCCTCAGTTGTCTCTCCAGAGCAGATAAAAGGCATATTTGCTTTTCTAGGCTCTTCCCTACAGGCACACGTAAACATATTTAGTTATCTAACTGCAGTGAATGACTCAAATTCTGAGCTAACAGGCCTTGGTACATCTTCAGTAAAGTATTTCCACACTTCTCTTTCTTGGTGCAGCAGCATCTAGGCTGATACTGAGCAGTAAAGAGGCACGAGAAACCCAAAATCATGGCTCAGGTCTTAGTTGGAAAAATTAAGTTTTCTCTTTCCTGTGAGAGCCTTGTTATCTTCCTGCTGGTTCAGAGTTTTGAGGAACACCCTCAGGTCATATCTGTGAATCTCTTTCATAACTAGGCTAGAATTAACTTCTCACCTTTAATGAAGTCCATCTGCTAAAAACAGGATGTATCTGTGGCAACTGGGCTGTGTCTGAATCACTAATTCTTTTACAAATTGCAACATTGGAACTGCTGCCTTGGGTGAGCCTCAGGATCCCTCCCAAGTTATTGCTAGTACTAGGGAAA